TGGTTAAATCGTCTTGGTTGCCGGTTGCTTTTACCCACGACATGCATGCCTCAAAAAGCTCGATCTCTGTGCACGACATCCAATCCAGCTTCAAAATTTCGTTCAGCACTTTTTGGTCGCATGCCAGAAAGCTATTTGAATGGAACACAGCAGTTGTGTTGAGGCCGATGATCGTTTCACATGACTGCTTCAGTTCGTGTTGTTTGAAAAGAATAGCCAATCCATAGTGTTGGCAGACGTTATCCTCGTTGAGATTATTTTTCAGTAACTTGTTGCAGACCGCCAAACACTCGATCACATTGTACATTTCGCCGAGATTCATCACTGCACCAACGTTTTCCATCGTCAGCTTAACTTGACCGAAGTAAAAAAACTGGAGAAATTCCTTGAAGGCACTAGCTGATACATCACCAATCTTCACCTTATCCATCTCTTTCCACGATCCATTGAACATTTTGGCGAACACATCGCTGCCAGCCATCAAGTGAGCTTTATTCGCCGGCACTCGTTCGATGTCATCATTTGATTCGAAGACAAAGTGAACATCGGCTGATTCAGAGTTCAAGTACAACTTTTTTCCGATCGCCGAGAACAGTTGACTTGGATAGTCGCTGGTTAGTGGGTTGAAAACCGACATCTTATGAAGAAACGTAAAATTTTATTGAAGCGGAAGAAGAAACAATTAAATAATTAGAGCAACTTGTATCAAGCTGACAGACTTTTGTTGTTCATATCCAATGAAAAGTTTATAGGGAAACGAATGATGACACTTACACTTGTTTTAATGCTTTTTTTATATCTTTACACCCTTTTTGTCTTATACTCAATCAAAATAATTACATTTACGCCGTATCAGTTAAACGTACGAATTGAATTTTCATCAGAAATGGAATTTTTATTCGGTAAATGTTGAGTGAGATACTCTTAAAATCGAAATGAAATCAATTTATTTGGAATGTTTCTTGCAAATCGAAAAAAAAACTTCAGAGAGCGTATGCTGATCAGAGCTTCAGAGAGCAGCTTAATGACACTGAATCGAATGTCCCTGTTTAACAGATTGAACCAATGTTGGAAATGTTTGAATATGTAAGTGTGGTCGCTTGTGATTGAGTTCCATTTCAACATACATAGTGTTGCCACATCAACAAAACGGAAGAACAGAGGTTTTGAAACCAAATGTCGATTTTAGTCTGATTCGAAATGCAACACGTTGAATTATAGAAAAAAAAACATGAATTTTATCTTTCCTTGCAAATGGTTGAATTGGAGAAATTTGCAACAAAACTTTGCGACATAAAATGACGTGGGTGAGCTGAAAGTACGTGAAATATTACTACATTGAGTGTTCGAGAGTTGCCAATTGTTTCAACATTGTCTAAAAATACTAATGGATGCATGGTGCTATCAGGTTTTATGGCCGATTGACAGCAACCCTTTAAACACCTAGAATATAAACAAATGTCTAAAGTCTGTTATCATCAGAACGGATCGTTTATACATTTTTTTTCACAAACTGCAACTTCTGAATCAAAAATATTTGCATAAAAAGTTCATTGATTTCATCATAAATAAATAGTCTTACCTCCGTAAGGCGAACTTTTCCGCACTGTTTTCATAGCGTTCAGCTTTTATTCAGATTTTGCCTAGGAAATTCATAAGAATTTCCCCACACGAATTTCGAACTGGCGAAGCTGTCAATGGAATGTGTGCGCTTTTTATATGGTTGACATCACATCACATCGCACATCAAAGAACATTTTATTTTTTTCTTCGATTGAACATGTGCTGTGTAATTTTTCGTTTCATGAATTGTTTTTGTGTGAAGATTTTGAGAGCACTTTTTCAGAAACTAAACCAAAATTCGTTTTGTATTTAATTCGAATGTTTTTATCTCTTTATTGAATGAGAATGCAAAAAAATATTGATTTGGAAAAATTGGAACAAATGTGACAAGTTGAAAAAAATAACATTTAAAATAACCACATTTTTTTATCAAAATTATAACGCGTCTTTTTTACATTGTATTTATATGGCAGCCCTTCGAATCCATAGAACAACATGAATGAGCGAAGGAGTGATTTGAAACTCTCATACAAAAGCGCGATTTTTAGCAAAATTAAGAACAAAAAAATGCAAGAAATTTTTGAATTATTTGTACCGATTTGATACGAAAAAGGTAGGTTAGCGGTTGTTCCTGGTCCCCTATTATTTTGATGAAATAAATCGGGTGGGCATGATAAAACCCACATGGTTTCCAAGTCTAACGAAGCACAAACGTTTGGTACTTGCAGAATTTCATTTCCTATTCTGGTGTTTGAGCAATCGTGCTAACAAATTTTTGCGTACAGCGTACAGCGCACAGCGTACAGGGTACGACACACCCACATTAACATAGCAAAATAACCACTGTATCGTGCTTTTTGGTGTCGAAAATGGATAGAAAAATGGTTTTTTGGTGTACCTAGGTTTTGGAGTGATTACAATACTTTTACTCACGTCATGGGCGTGCGGAAAAGTAACTACAGAGTGTTTTTCATTTACAACTATCGACATCTGAAACGAGACACCATATTGGCGTTTACATGACAATTGTCATCTGCTATAATAAGGTAAATATGATTTGTTACAACCATAAAATGAAGGTAACACTAACAATATACAAAAAAGAAGCATAAAAGAATCAAGAATGTTTGCGAATATCCGATGTGGGAAGTGATACAACACACGAAATAAATTCCAAAGTTGGGAGTTTTATTTCGAATCAGACCAAAAATTCAATTTCATTTCACATACTCAGATTTATATGTTTTTCTGCGGCAACACTATTTTGAAAGGGGACATAAGACCTTTACACATCCATAAAATTCCAACATTTATTTGATCTGTCAAACAGGGACATTCGATTTAGTAGTATCATTAAGCTATTCAGTGTTCAGATTAGTCCACACCCTTTGAACTTCCTTTGATTCATAAAAAACTCCAAATAAATTGATTTCATACTTAGTTATTTTAATTTCCATTTCTGATAAAAATTGAAATCGTACGTCCGATTGATAGATACTTCCTAAAGACAGTTTAAGCCAAAAACATTGTGAGTTTCACCGTTCAATTCCATCTTACTGTAAACGTTTCATTGGGTATGATCTACTGCAGTTATTAGTTTAATGTTTAATCCAGTTTGTTTCAAGTTATTTCTCTTTCAGGTCAACAGAATTTTACGTTTGAGCATAAGATGTCGGTGTTCAACCCACTAACCAGCGACTATTCAAGTCAACTGTTCGCGGCGATTGGAAGAAAGTTGTACTTGAACTCTGAACTGGCCGACGTTCACTTTGTCTTCGAATCAGATGATGACATCGAACGAGTGCCGGCGAACAAAGCTCACTTGATGGCTGGCAGCGATGTGTTCGCCACAATGTTCAATGGATCATGGAAAGAGATGGATAAGGTGAAGATTGGCGATGTATCGGCTGCTGCCTTTAAGGAATTTCTCCAGTTTTTCTATTTAGGCCAAGTCAAGCTGACGATGGAAAACATCGCCGAAGTGATGAATCTCGGCGAAATGTACAATGTGACCGAGTGCTTGACGGTGTGCAGCAAGTTCCTGAAAAACAATTTCAACATCAACAGTATTTTTCGGGACTATGGATTAGCAATGCTGTTAAATCAAGCGAGCTTGAAAAAGGCATGTGAAGTTTTCATTGGAGTGAATATCAAAGCAGTGTTTAAGTTAACAGACTTCCTGGCATGTGATCGAAAGATGCTGGCTCAAATACTGAAGCTGAATTGGATGTCATGCACTGAGACTGAGCTCTTCGAGGCATGCATGTCTTGGGTCAAAGCGGCTAGCAAGCAGGATGTTTTAACCAAGGAACTAGTGCATGCTCACATCGGTGACTTGTTCCATGAAATTCGCTTCGGTTCAATGTCTTTGCAAGCGTTCGCTGCACTGATTCCAACGTATGGAAAATCATTCTCATTCGACGAGCAACAAGAAATCATTCAAATGATAGCAGATCCAACATTCCAGTCAAACATCTTTAATGGGAATCGTGTGGAAAGATACAATTCCCTAACACCATGGCCTGGAACTAATGACATTCTCTGTGATCGACTAATTTCAATTTATTGTAAACCATATGAAATCAAAAACGTAGAGACAACTGTCTTCTCGACCAACGAATCTCTTTTACTTCGAGCGATTCTTTTTGTCAATGTAGGCCTATATATAAACAAACGATATCTAATGCTTAAAAGTAGCGTTCCAACGAACACAACAATTGTAGAAGTGAGCGACTCCAACAAAGAAACCATAATTTACAATGTAAATGGAATTCTAAAATCCGAAGAAAATGTGCTTATATCGCTAACTAAACCAATTCTCGTTAGACCTGGTTTTACGTATGAAATTCGACTGGAACAAACTCCACCTGAATCGTGCTGCACAACCTTTATTATGAAGACAAAAGTTGAATTGGAGTCTGGCATTACCATACAGTTTCATCGCGACTCCAATCTTGAAGAGAATTCAACAGTTTCAAAAGGATTAATTCATAAACTGATCTTCCGATCGATTTAAAGCAAATGCGATTAAAAGCAAATTGAATTGTACTGGCATTTCTCTATTATAAAAACGGATATTCTTGCAGTTTGAAATAAAAAAAAAGAATAAACATGAAAAATATGCTAATCTCATGCCATTTTTTGATTGGAATACAATGGAAATTATTTCATTCAATTTGTAATACTCTTTCGATTAACAGCTCATAAGAATCAATAAACACCAAAATGTGCAATTCCTAAAAAATGAAGAAAATAAATAACATATCGTATTGGATTTGAATTGATTGTTTCATTTCGTTGTGATTGAATGTTCGCGGTTGAACCGCTGAAATTACCCGATTGAAATTTGATTTGACATTCATTCTATGAGCAATGCACATACATACACACAAACAATTCGTATCAGTAAATAGCAACTTTTCGCATTGTGTCAAACTATGTCATTCATTCTTTACCATTGAATACACAATGACTCATACAGTCGATTAAAACAGCATTTTCAATCTACAATTATAGTGTTAAAAAGTGATTTTTTGGTTTTTTCCCACATAAAATCGTTCATATCGTGGAAAATATTTCAATCGTAAGTCGAATTTTTATTTAAAGAGGATATTTTTGACGTCTCAAAGCAAATTTCAGTAGAATGCAAGCTTCAATATTTAGTATATAGTAACCTAAAAAAAGGATTTATTTTCCAAAAAAAAATCATCTTTTTCAATTTCTAAAACTACATTTTTTTCCAACTGATTAGAAAATAAGTTTCCAGAAAATTCCTGTAATAAAAACATGGACAATTCTGTCACAGTTTTGTTGATCGCTATGTTAATTTCCAATTTTTGTTCCATTTGCAGTTAATTCCATTCGGCTTCATTGAAATTAGCGACCATTCATCGCTTTCATCTGAAATCATCGACAACATGTCGGTATCTAAGCAAACAACTGATGATTACAGCACCCAAGCGTTCCGGGGAATTGGAAAGAAGTTGTATTTAAGCACTGAATGGGCCGACGTTCATTTTGTTTTCGAGTCCAAAGATGGTGAGGTCGATCGAATTCCGGCGCACAAGATGTTGCTGGTTGCCGCGAGTAAAGTATTTCTAAAGATGTTCAATGGGTCATGGAAAGAGAAAGAAGAAGTAAATATTGTCGATGCATCAGCGGCCGCATTTCGAGAGTTTCTACAATTTTTCTACTTGGACCATGTGAACTTGACCATAGAAAATGTGGCCAAAGTGCTGAATCTCGGTCAAATGTACGATATTGCCGAATGTTTGTCGGTGTGTGGTGACTACTTGAAGAATCATCTCAACAAAAACAACGTGTGCTGGACCTACGAGCTGGCGATACTCTTCGATCACGTCGACTTAATACATTCATGCGAAAAAATCATCGGCATGGACACAAATGAGGTGATTACATCGGCAGCTTTTATAGCGACTGATCGAAAAATTGTACAACAAATTTTGACGCTGAATTGGTTCTCATGCACCGAGGTTGAATTGTTTGAAGCGTGTATGGCTTGGATTTTGGCGGACAGTAATCAGAACACTTTGACCAAGGAACTGCGCGATGAATATGCCGATTTATTCGATGGGATTCGCTTTGCGGCCATGTCATTGGAACAATTTGCTGGCATCACTCCAACGTATCGCGAACTATTTTCATACGATGAATACGTCGATATCATTCAATTGATCTCCAATCGTGAATACGAGCCCAAGTACTTCAATTCAAACCGACAGAAGCGTGATCTGATTCCATGGAAAGATGACGATGTGATTCGATGTGATCGATTAATTTCGCAATTTCAGCTGTGCAAACCATACCAAATCAAAAACACGGAAAAAACCATCTTTACGACCAACAAACCAGTTTTACTGCGGGGAATCCTATGCGATGGAATTTACGAATATAATTACGTGAGCAACAAGTACGACATTCCACTTTCATCACTCCAAACATGGTTAACCGTCCTTGAATCGCCCATCGATCTTGATTCAGATGAAAATAAGACGCTTTACACTGAACAAGGTGCATTACTGAACGGAAAATGTGTAGTAATATCGATGTCGAAACCAATTCACATTCGACCCGGGTTTATGTACGAGATTCGACTCGAACAAACATCACCGTTTAATTGCTGCAATGGCGCCATTTTGAAGCATAAAGTTCACATGGACCACGGCATCACTATCCAATTCCATCAAGATCCAATTTTTCTGGGCGATCCAAATGTTTCGAGAGGATTGATTTGTGCACTCGATTTTTACAACTTTTGAAACTAATGAAGGAAGGATGGAGAGGGTCTCTGTCAGAGAGATCACGAATTATGGTGGGACTATACTGCGATCAAACTGGATGAATCATTCGAATTGACAATAGTAATAAGGCATCGTCACAATGAATAGAGAAACAAAAAAATCATGAACAAAAACAAACACAAAAAATTGATTTAAAATGGCATTGCATGCCTTGAATTAAATTAGCCAAAAATTAAGTCAGGAACAAAAATGTCGAAACAGTAAAAAAAAGAACTAAGTCATAAGCCACATACTGCGTATTTACAAAGAAATCAAACTATCCATTAAATCATTTAAAAATGACATAAACTTTTGATTTGTTTTATTCGTACTTTCTAGTTGAGCGTTTCTAGCCTGGAAATTCGTTTGTGATTTGGATGGTTTTTGTCGGAAAAAAATCTGGAGCGTGAACATTTGCCCATTATCAAACACGTTGGCGATGTCAACCAATCCAAATTTCGATGCCAAATCACAAAATGTGTGTGTTTATAAGCCTGGATTCTGGTCAATGAACCTCACCGAAATTATAACCGATTGTTTAGAGCCGATTTTCATGAACTTGAGTATGGCTGATTTGTTCAATGTGGCGGTGGCGAATAAAAACTTCAGTAAAACAGCAGCTCTGGTGTTCAAACGGAAGTATGGCACAAAGAAGTGTATGATTGAACCTCGTGGTGTTCGAATATGTGGAAGAGATACCGTACCATCGTATTACATCGTTGGAATTGAGTTGAACCAAAGCTATAATCAGTTTGTATTTCTGCGTATATTTGGGAATATGGTATCAAAGATGCTCATCACATGTGATGTTTCAAACAATCGACGCATCGAGAATTACGTCGCTGAGTATTGTTTCGAATCGACCGTTGACATTGAATCATTCATATTTTTGCCCACTGACAATCCGCAAACGACGATATTTATGGGCAAAGCATTGGCCAAACAGTGTTTCCAAATGATGGGCTTTCGAAAGTTGGCCGTGAAGCACAGTGGCTTCATCGATCAAAAATTCTTCGGCTATTTGTTTGACAAACGCGTTTTGGAGCTCGAAAGTTTGTCGATCAAGTGCAAAGATGGGATTTTCCATGATAAAGTGAACAAATCGGATCATTTTGTTTTTGATGAATTGAACAGTTTTTCATTAGACAGTGGCACACCGTATTTGTACTCGCGAGGTCCACCGCCATTGATATTCAATCAACTTGATAACTTGGAATTGAAGGGATTTTGCCGATTGTCCGCAGATTGGATTCAATTTATCATCCGGAACAAAAACCTCACCAAATTGAAACTCTACTGCACTCCATTCTTTTGCTATCATTACTCATGGCCGGCACCTGAAGTGACCAACGAACAATTTCTGAAAATTGCCAAAACAATGACCAATTTAAAATTGCTAGTGATTGACGCTAATCTCATTGAAATCCAATATTTTATATCGGATTTTTTGTCCGAGTTCAAATCATTGATGGAATTACGCATTTTTTGGGACGATCAATTAGATACCAAAATTCCAGTCAAAAAAGTACTCGAAGAAAAGGCCATGGAAGTGCACTATGAATGGGACTTTTATACACGATCACGACGTGCCGCTTTTATTCGGAAACAATGAAGATTCTTTCTAGCATAGAGAGTAAAATAAAAGAAGGAAGAAAAAGCTGAAAAAACAAGTTGAAAAAATAATAATTGACCATGGTTTTGTTTATTTATTTGCTCATGATTTATTTTATTCACCAACAAAAAAAAAAATTGGGAATCGACTATGGACTGTTCAAATAAACCTCAAGCACTACACTTTAGTTGATAAAAGAAAAATCTTTTAAAAATCGATTCAAGTTCTGATCATGATTCTCTTTCTTGCTAAACTTTTTTTTACCTAAATTGATGTAAGAATATAAATAAAATCAACTCAATCTAATGAGATGAGGCGCATAAATAAGACCTCAGTGCATAAAAAACACTAAAAGCGGACAAAACTATTTTACAAATGCAAAAAAAAAACAATAAAAACAACAAATGCGAGTATTTCGGCATGTGATGTGTTCATTAAACAGTGCTCAATGAGCAATGTACAGAAAACGTACATTTGAAAAAATTTAATGCTTTATTTATATAAACTAAATCCATATTGTTTTCTTATGCACGAAAAAAACATAAATGGAAAATAGAAAAGAAAAAAAAGTAAAAAAAAATTACCACAAAAAAAAGCCAGGAAAAATTTTCTAACAAAAAAAACAATAGAAAAATGGAAAAAAAATTGAAAAAAAAACAAATCAAGAAAAAAAGAAAAAAAATGTACTTACCTGGCGTTCGCCACACTTTCCCTTTCCCAAATACTTCAACGATAAACCTTTCTTTAACCTTTCCTTCAAACTTATTACCAAATAATCAAAGTTTTATACTCACGAGTCTCGAACCGCTGACTTCTGGATCGGTTGATTGATGATGGGTGCCAACTCGCACCACTCGCCTACAACGCCGTCGAATGAAAAGCCGATCGATTGTGTTCAGTTGAGTGTGCTTCGATTGATTATGAAATACATTCAATAGGGGTCGTGCCACGTACATCGTTTCCATTTTGACACTTGCCGTCATGAATTGTGCAAATGACATACAGCAAATGTGTCCGTGTCTATCGTCAGAATTGAGAAAAATCGCAATAAAAATTATTAAAAACGTATGAAGAAAATTGCTAGTGTGATCATGAGATAGTGCGAATGAAAGAGACAGATCGATGTCATTGGGAAAAATGCAAATTTTCTCAGAATGAACAGATCAGTTATGGTGTACAAATCAGCAATCCGAATTCAGTGTAAGGGTTCAATAATTCATTTTTGTGTTCAGAAATACGACGATTCGATGATTTGCTGAATTCTGTTTGAAAATCATTTGAATGTGTGTTTTTTTCCGAAAACGGTATGTGTCCTAGTTGAATCGAACGAAGACAGTCGAAAATACACAAAGACATATGCAAATCAATCAATTAGCTGCGACGCAACAAATACATCGACGCAGCCACACATATACCGAATCAGCAATAAACGTCAAGTTGACGGCCGCTGTTTTGTTGTCATCATTCTGCGGTATGAGCTATGTGTTGCTAGTGAATAAACATTTCTATTGATATTTTCAAACTTTTTTTGTTCTACAAAATTAAATTTTGAATTGAATTTGTCATTTGGATTCTAGTGAACAGCAATTGAACGAGCAATATTGAGCAATTGAATAAGCAATACAAAAAGTCAAAGTGGGTCACGGAAATTTCAGAACAAAGACGTTCAAGGTGCATTTTGTGAGCAAATTGACATCGCATCGTAAGTATTTTTGATTTTGATTGAAACAATGGCAATTTTTATGCCCAATTTCGAAGATTCAGTCATTGTGTTTGAGTTCATTACGATGAGTTTAGCTTGATTTGATCCATTTTTTGCAAATTGAAGTATTATCAAAGAGAATTTCATTTACATTTTAATTGAATCGTGGAATTAACTCGAGTTCAAAGTGGAGACGAGTCAATGTTTACATTTTGTTGTGAAGAACCCTTCCGTTGTGAATCACAATGGAGCATTCATAAGCCAAATGTAAACAAAGAATGGCATTGTCAAATGCACGATTCAATGATAAATGAGATGAAACACTGATGAAAGGAAGTGAAGCAAAAACACAAAAATTGCTTCATACGGATTTATTTTGATGAATTTTCAGAAGAAAATTGTTGAATTAAGGAAATTCCTTAATTTTATTGTTCCAAACATTGATTTTCTAAAACTTCACTGAACTCACACTGAATTCAAAGCGCTATTCAAACCAATCGAAAGCCCAATTAATGCCCCTTGTTTCCCTGTTTTCCCACAGAAAATGGCTGGTGAAATCGTCCAACTGAGTGGAATCACTCCCAAACTGGTTCAAGTCATATCAAAACCAGTGCGCAAGCGTGACAACGATGATTCGGATCTGCCGAACAAACGACGCAAATCGACCGACGACAAAATTCCGGGATGCAGCACCAAAATTACCGATGTGATCGATGACTGTTTGGAGGTCATATTCGGGCATTTGCAGTTCAAAGATCTCTCCTGTGCGGCGATTGCCCATGAACACTTTCGAGTCGCTGCTGGTTTGATCTTCGGTCGCAAGTACGGGCAAAAGGAAATTCGCCTGATGTCCGACGGTATCACTGTGTTCCACGACGACAATCACAAGCACAGTGTCTATCATGGGTTCAGCGTGAAAAAGCCGTCGTACTACATGGAATTCCTGCAGAGTCTCGGCGGTCGCATATCAAAACTGAACATTGGCCTGGGTAACGGTTTGTACAAAACCATTGAGCCGACTTTGCTGAAAACCTGTGTGGATTCATTGGTCGAACTCACTTTGCATTATCCACATCTGGGTCCATCAAAACTGCTTGACGTATTCGCCGGCATCAAAAAGCCGTTCCCGAACGTGGTCAAACTCTGTCTGCACGGCTGCCACTTGAACAAACAGGCTTCACGATTGGGTGTTTGGTTCCCTAAACTCCAACGTTTGACAATCTTCGACAGCACATTTGGCGATGCAAAGCTCGTTGTGACCAAGTATCCGCTGCTTGAACACTTTTCAGTGGGTGGCTGGAAGGACGAAAATACTTTGACACAGTCACAGATCTACGCAATGCTTCGTTTGAATCCGCAAATCCATAGTTTGGACATTGGATTGGCTGCTGATGGTTATGAGCTCGATATTTATCGACGCATCAACAAGATTCTGCCTCAGCTGCAGAACCTGAATTTGTGCTGGGAAATGAACAGTTTCAAGCAACACGATGGCAAAAAAGTCACATTCAAAAACGTCAAGAGCCTGGTACTGGACTTCGGCTTCAATTCATTCAGCGGTGCACGAGTTTTGCCATTGGTTTTCAGTCAATTGACCGAGCTGGAGATCAACAATATTCCACTGTTGACGGGTGATTGGATGGACTTCATCGTCCAGCACAAAGCATTGACGAAGTTGAGTGTGCTCCCATTCAACGAATATGAGTTTTATTTCGATCGGCCCAACAATCAAGATCTGATGCGATTAGGTAAAGAGTTGAGCAATCTCAACACTTTGACCATTGATGCTACCGAAATTTCCACCATCTGCCTGCTTCAGTTCATGCAAATGTCCAAAACACTGACTGAACTTCGATTGCACTGGAACGATTGCTATGCATTCACTTCATTTCATCATGACCTTCTGCAACATGGACCAGGCATCTTTGCACAGATTCGAGACCATTGGCACATTCCACCGAAGATAACCAACCCATTCGTACTCAAACGCAAGGCCGACTGAATCGATGTAGGATTTGCAGAATTTTCTAACAATTTAATCATTCAATGCAGTAAATTGAAGAAAACATTCACACGTTTGTTTCACATTAGGCTAAAGAGACTTTTTTTTAGAGAGAATAGTTTTTTTTACCCTTTTTTTCATTTTTACAGAACATATTTGTAGCCACCATTTTTTTCGTCGTGAATTCATACGATTTTTTATTGATAGATCGATTCTTATCATAAAAACGCAACATAATCAAACATTCAGATTTTGACGAGTAGCAAAGTACAGTATATGTTATTGATTAGGGGACAAAGGAATCTTTTCCTTAGGTTGATACCTCTCACATGGAATCAATTCACGCTTTGTAATGAACAATGAAAATAAATTTCAAAGAAATAGTTGTTGTTGTGAAGAATTATTTGTGTTTGAGAGAAGAAATATCGAGACGCCGTATTGAATTGGCACTGCTTCGGGTCCATAAATTTATGTACATGTAAGTTTCCATTAAATTGAATTCAAAGCCTTGTCTTTTGCATGGAAAAAGTTTAAAATGTGAAAAAGTGGAAAAGATACTGTGTTTTTATTTTACCAACGAACATACATTTTTTTACACCCTTATTTTTTTCCTACTGAGAGTGTTGTTCTATAAATTCTACAATACAATTATTTGATTTCTGGGTAAATTGTGAGAAAATAAAAAGAATTACATTGGTAATCCCGAACTTTTCCGTACCGTTGGCCTGCGTTGTCCGTAGGTCCCAAGAGAAACGGCCAATATGTTTATACGCTGTCTATCCGCCGAAAATACACTACAATATATACACGCTTATTGGACGCCGAATTGAATATATATTCTAGTGTATATTCGGTGTATTCTTCAGCGTGAAACATATTGAATAAACGAATGCATTCATGGCCACCAGAGGGCGCCTGAATATGTTTCAATATGTTTCACGCCGAAGAATACGCCGAATATGAGCAAAAACACGAAAATCGGGAATGGTTAGAATTTTTTTTTATTCAAATATCGCGGTACTGTGGTCTTTTTTCTTTAAAAGTGATCCTAAAGTATCGGCCAATACCATTTTCATATGAAGGTAGGCGTTTATAGTGTGCCATTTCAACGTAGTTGTGCTTGTGCCTCGTTTTGTGTCAAAAAGAGCGAAAATACACAACCGAACAAAAAGTCAATTTAAATATATAATTTTCGTTATCATTGCTATTATTCAATTTTATTCATTAGATTACGATGTAATCGTGCTATTTTGGCAAATTTTGCAATGAATACATCTTATTCATGTGCATTTGAAGGCTCTGAAAGGTGCCGCAAATTGGAATGTAACATTCCAGTCTAAAATTCCCGAAAGTTTTTTTTATGTATACCTTTATCAAGAATAATGACGCTAAATTCGTTTTTTTTAAGAGTTTTCTGCCTATTTTGTGGAAAATAAAAAATATTAGTTACTTTATTAGACTAAAACACTTATACGAGCCTTCAGACATGTGTAACGAGCCAGTCTTTGTTACATTGAAAAAATCGAGATTATTTGATGACAGGTTTTTTCTTTGTAAACCAATCCAGAACTGAACACCACAAAGAATGATAACGCTTCTATTCTTTTTCTACCCATTTGAATCAATTTCGAGTGTTTTATTGCATTTATTTCAACCGTCGATGTACTTTGTAACGATCCAGTCTTTTATGTGTAACCTTCCAGTCCTTTTTTTGATCAGAGAAATCGGAATCGTTTATGACAAATTTCTATTACAAATCGATTCGAAACCAAAAATCATAATAAATTCTCGTATTTCTATTTGTTATCGACTGATTTGAATCTAATTTGAATTTGATATTTGGTTTATTTAGCCCGAGGAATTTTGTGTAACGAGGCAGTCTTTTTTCTGTAACCTTCCAGTCCATATATTTTGGATCATAGAGCGACCTGAATTGATTTTTATGGGGTAAATATGGTTTCGTTCGTTTCTTTGATCCCTTAGACAGCGAACAGAACCTTGGAGTACAACGATTCTCTGCTGGAGGAACTGGATTTTAGATATATGTAAGACAAACTCCAAACATATCGCCAAAATTGTAACCTTCCAGTCCAACAAAAAAACCGCTATATCTCTATGGGTGTGAGAGATATGGGAAAGGTTTGTTGGTATGAAATGTTCCTTTTGTGGTCTAGATAGTAGGTACTTTTGGTTATTTTTTGTGAATTTTCTTGAAATAAAGGCAGTGAAAATATAATAATAATAAAAATAAAGTGAAAAAACGGTCACTTTAACTAAAACTTCAACAATTTTGTATGAGAGGTACCGATTCTTATTGGCTTTAAACTTCCTGAGGTTTCATTTTTTGGAGAAAAAATAAGATTCTGAAAGTTTCATGTTGATCGCATTTGCAGAAGTTTGGTTTTTGTCCCTTAATTTTTTCCCAAAAAAATGTCGACAAAAATTGAGGACAAAAAATCAAACTTCTGCAAACGATCAACATGAAACTTTCAGAATCTTATTTTTTCTCCAAAAAATGAAACCACAGAAAGTTTGAAGCCAATCAGAATCGATTAACGGGTACCTCCCATACAAAATTGTCCAAAAATCGGTAATTTAAGTCGAAATTTCAAAAAATTTGTATGGGAGGTACCCGTAAATCGATTCCGATTGGTTTCAAACTTTCAGAATCTTATTTTTCTTCCGAAAAATGAAATCCCAGAAAGTTTGAAGCCAATCGAAGTCGATTTACGGGTACCTCCCATACAAAAGTGTCAATTTTTTGAGATTTTTCTTGGGGCAAGTACCCCAAGATCAAATCGAAAATGGCTCATCTTCGAACTTAAACTAAGTTTTTCGAATACAAAACTTTTGGCATTTCCAGATTTTGATTATCTCAATTATTTTTTGAGTTATCGTGTTAACAAACAGCTACGACAACAACGACAACGACAACGACAACGACAACGACGACAACGACGACGACGGCACACGAACGGAAAAGTGTCTCAAAAAGTGGTTTTCTACGCGTTTCATGAGTTTTTATGATGATCTAAGCTAATTTTGCGAAAAAAGTTTTCGGGACCAATTCCTATACTTTCCCTTGACACGTTGTGTACGGAAAAGTAAAACTATTTTCCGACTGGCTTGTCAATCGTTTGTGTTGATTAACGTAACGAATTCTGTGGATTGACCAATTTAATCGCGTTTCCGAAACAAATTTGCTAGGCAAGAGGTAGTGTGATTGAAAAAAGTTTTCTGTGTTGTCGGCGACTTGTCGGCAGTTTCATACAATTCAAAACGGAATCATGGACAACTTTGCCATTACATTTTTGAATGAAATTTGGAAATACATCTTTTGGTATGGCTTCGTTTTAGGTTTGCGATCGATTCAGTTGAACTGCTCGTTTTCATTCTGGAACAAATTGGATCAAAGTGTACAGTAGAAACAGAGAGTCAGAGTCACTTTCAGTAGAAAAGGTTCAGAGTCAAGGAGAAACAGAGACAAGAGCAGAAACAGAGAGAGAAAGAGAGACTCACACGTAACAACAAGTTGTAAAAGAGTACACATTTCCAGAGCACAGAAGGTATGTATTCAGCTAACATGAGACAAAGAAACGATTTTCGATAGAAATATTTGAGGTTAGGAGCTCCAATTGGTGTATATTTTGCATTATTATCCCATCGCAATTTGTTACTCAATTTATGCTTCTCCATTTTTTTTTCACAGATCGTATCTAACTTGCAATACGAAAAGTCAAAGGAAATTTTAGAGCAAAGACGTTCAAGGCGCATTTTGTGAGCAAATTGACATCGCATCGTAAGTATTTTTGATTTCGGTTGAAACAATTGCAATTTTTATGCCCAATTTCGAATAGTCAACCCAAAAGCCATGATCCGGTCTCAAATATGATTGGACCAACAAATGCCAATGGACAGGCAATGAACTCAATGGTGATCAAGCGACGAAACTCGAGCCATCAGATGGATGATCCCATTGAATTGGTTGACTCGGATGACGAAGTGAAAGTGAAACAAGCTCGCATCAAGTCGGAGACAGGCGCAATTGAAACTAATGCTCCTGCTGTATTGCCTCTTGATAATCTGGCGAATGATGAACACTGTTCCGGAAGTGCTGCGTACAATCGGTAAATAGTCCTCATTCTCTCGTTATATTTTGAATTTTGTTCGATAATTAAGACTAACGATGTGTATTTATTCAAGGCTTCGACATCCAATCCTCTGCTGTCAGATTCTGTGTTACAGATGTTCAAATTTGATGTGTTACCTTCTGTCAGACTGAATGACAGCTGTCAGATGCGGTGTGACACATACCACATTTTGAATATTTCATTCCATCACGCTGACGTTTTTACCAGTCAAATTTTTGACCAATATACTGACATTTGTGGTTCACAGCAAGTGTATCATAATTAAGCTCAGCAATTGATGCTGCGAGATACCGCCGGGCCAAGTGATTTGTGCATATCCATGCACCAACTGGCAGAGTGACATCGATCGCCAGGGCATGATTAATGTTGAGCCACGTCATGGTCGTGCGCCTTTTTTTGGTTCCTTTTTGATTAAATAATCAATCAAACGAACCCAACCTTGCGTTGGTGCCCCAAAAGGGTGATTCGATAACGAATAAAACGATGTGTTTCATTTATTTTATCATTCCTTTGATTTAAAAAAAAATGCAAAGATTTGATTCATAAACATGCGAATGAAGTATTTGATTCACAAGATTTTTTAAATTGTACCAAAGCGGCGTTGAAACAAATTTTGGAATTGAATGGTTTTTCGGTAGATGAAGTTTTGTATGGAATATGTTAGTAACAAGTTCAAGGTAAATAGGAAGGTTGAGATTGATTATACTAGTGTGGATAGGTTCGACATTCAATGTTTTCTCGGGGATTCGTTTTACGATATCCGATTTTTTTCAATGAAGTAAAATGAATTAAAACGTGTAACATCAGGCCGAGGTCAGTTTTTCAATGAAGTAGAAATGCAAATGCTATGTCGTAAAATTAAAAACATTCTTTTCAATCCGCATTTGCGTGGATCAACTTGAAATGGTCACTTGCATCTCTTTTCATTTTTTTTTTCATTAACAAAATTGTATTAAATGTGAAAATAGTAGTAATTAGTTCAACTTCTATGTGTACCTAGGGTGGTGCGATTTTTAAAATCGTACAAATTCAAAAATGGACACTGCGCGTTCGTTTAGGCACCTCAAAAGAAGAAACTTTTGTTCTGGGACATATGCCGAAAAGTTGATTCCCACAATCCCCACTCAATTTTTATCTGAAGCATTTTTTGATGATTTTTTCAGACTATTTGTTGAAATATCTCGCAAAATACCCCCTTTTCTTGCATTCAAACTATCATATTTGGATTTA